TTGGGCTCCTAACCACAGAGTCAGCAATTTGAAACTGCCTGCCCCTCTGTGGGAAAGGGACAAGGCTGTCTACTCTCATAAACATTTACAGTCTCAGAAACCCACAGCGGCAGTTCTACCCTGTCCTATAGGGTCACTATGAGTCAGAATCAGCTCAATGGCAATGAGTTTGGTTTTTGTTTTGTTTTTTTAAATAGATCTACTGTTTGGCTGAAGGTAACTAAGAGCTATACTCTTGGGGCTTCACCAGTCTATATCTGTGTGCTTCTTCCATGTGGACTTAGTTGACATCTCACTTAGATGGCTGCTTGCTTGGAAACAAGCCTTAAACCCCCAGACACTATTCTGTCTGATAGCTGCACCCCCATTTAATGTCTTCACCACATTTTGCTACAGCGCCATATCTTCTGTGCTTCCTTCATGAGGGCGAGTAGCATGTCACAAGTGTAAGGTAGAAGGCAAAGGCAGAAAATAGTATTAGAGGTTTATTACAGAACTCCCACCTCTCCCTGACAATAAGAACTGGTTCTGAGATTGGATTCAGGATTAAGTACAAGCCCAAAATCCATTACCAGATCTATGATTTTTATCTGCCTCTGGCTCTCCTTAGAGACATACTTTTTAGTTTATAGTCAAGAATCTTAAGAGTTTACCTCCTTGGAGATAAACAAATCTTTATGGGGAGCAGGCAACCTTTCTTTTTCCCAGAGAGCTGGCTGGTGGGTTTGAACCAGTTGAGGTTAGCAATCGACCCAGAATCACTGCACCAGCTGAGCTCCTTGAATGAACACCAGTCGCACTGTTTCCTTTTCACCGTTTGTGTGAGTAGAGGGAGCCTGTGATAATGGAGAATTTATCTGCAAATATTTTATGAACACCTACTTTTTTCCGGGAAATGTTTTTGATATGCATTAGAGAACCATACAGACAAATGTTCCCAACCCTGGTAAGCTTTTTGTGTTCATGTAGAATAGGCAATAAGAAAGATATGTTATGTAGCTTATGATAGGTTATATAAAAAAATAGGAACAACATGAGTATGTTTGAGTAGGGTCGTGGTGGTATAGAGGACAAGTTGTATTTCTCAGAGGAAATTTTGCATTCTACAAGTAAAGATAGTGTAAAACTGCCGGAGGGTTCCTGAAACTAACGCAAAGCCCAACTCACTGCCATGGAGCAGGTCAGCGGTTCTCAAACCCGGGGAGTCGCGACCCCTTTGGGGGTCGAACGACCCTTTCAAAAGGGTCACTCAATACATCCTGCATATCGGATATTTACATGATGATTCATAACAGTAGCAAAGCGACAGTGATGAAGTAGCAACGAAAATAATTTTATGGTTGGGGCTCACCACCACATGAGGAACTAGATGAAAGGGTCGCAGCAATAGGAAGGTTGAGAACCCCTGGAGGAGATTCTGACTCAGTAGCCCTACGTGCCAGAGCAGAGATGCGTATTTGGATTTCCAAGACTTTACATCTTTATGGGAACAGAAAGCCTCATCTTTCTCGCATGGAGCAACTGATTGGTTTGAACTTTAGCAGCTTAATTCATAGTTAGAACTGCTACCAGAACTCCAAATTAGCCCATCACAAAAGGACAAATATTTCATGAGTCACTACTGTAAAAAGCTGAGAAAAGATTTTCACACTAAAAGAGACATTTCCTTGATGGTTCTAGGGGTGGGAAAGGGGCAGAAGGTAAATTCCTACCTAGCTCTTTCTCTAGGGCAGTCAGGGGTTCCTTTGGTGATGAGGACAGCAGGACACAATTACAAGGGAGGTTAGCCAGAAAAAAAAAGATGGAGGCAAAGGAAGGCAGTGAAAAGAGTGTAAGAGTTCAAGGCCAGAGAGGTAAATACTGTTATGTAGAGAATCTTGCAATACCCATGATCTGCAGGGTCAGGAGTCTGAAACCACCAGCTGTTCTCTGGGAGAAAGACGAGGCTTTCTATTCCTGTAAAGAGTTAGTCTCCCTAATTCCCAAACAGGTATAAAGGCTGTCTACATGCCAGGCACCATACATCACCCCCCTTAAGTACTGTTTATAAGGGTCAGCTCAAAAGAGAAGACCTTACATTGACTGGGGTCGCTCCTTCAAGACGCTGGCCTTAGAGGCAACACAGCGCCCCCCAACGGCCACATGAGGACTCAATGTCGAAGCCAGACTGAGTCAATTTCTGGAATCTTTTCAGGGATAATGCCCTAGACCCAGGCGATAAATCTTCTCACCTCTCACCCAGATAGCGTGACTTTGAGGGTCCCCAACTGGGGACCCATGAACCACCGCCCAGGAGCTCAGGATGCTCCCGTCCCTTTCTCTGTACTCCCTTCCCTCCCAGGTGGCGCGACTTCTCTGGCCCCAATTAGGGACCCATGAACCTGGCCCGGAAGCTCTGAAATAAACCTTTGAAACGGTTTTCTACCTTTGCCTTCTTTCTTTCTGTCACCAAATCTACCTTACACTTATGACATGATACTCTCCCTCATGAAGGAAGCACAGAAGATATGGGCGCTATAGCAAAATGTGGTGAAGACATTAAATAGGGGCCAGCTATCAGATAGAATAACGTCTGGGGGTTTTAAGGCTTGTTTCCAAGCAAGCAGCCATCTAAGTGAGATGTCAACTAAGTCCACATGGAAGAAGCACTCCAACATCTAGGACCCAAGGATTGTAAATTATATAATCCAAAACCAAAGGAGAGAATAGTATCAGAGCTTAAATTGTGAGATTCTGAAAGCCCAAAATGCATTTACAAAATCTACGTAGGAAATAAGCCTCCAGTGATTTTCCTATAATCATAATTGATGGATGGGAATAAACTAGTTATCAACAAGAATATCGGAGAAATGACTGTGTAGATCAAAATGATTAACCAGACTTGAACAGTTAAAATCCTGTCCACTCTGCTACACTTTGGGCTTGATCTGGTTTTTAATATTTTCTGTGGATTTTGTTTTCCATATTAGGGTTTATCTCTGATGTACTTTGTCATTGTGCGTAGCCTTCCTGAATATCTTTGCTGTATGCTTTTTTTCCCCTGTTTTTCAGTATATGAAACCCAGGATTAGGGAACCTATATAGATAACAACTAGATTAAGGGTTCTTGGGGTCATGGTGGGGCAGGTGGGGAGGAAGGGAGCTGATATCAAGGAGTTCAAGAAGGAAGAGCATGTTTTTAAACTGTGTTAGTCATTTACAATACTGCTTGATGTGACTGAACTATGGACTAATACGATGTCGGGATTAGCTCCTAATAAAACGGCTTTGGGGGAAGATTTGTAGTCTCAGAAAGCCTTAAGGAGCAGTTAGACTCTGTTCTACAAGGTCACTAGGAGTCACCTCTGTTCTGTAGGTTCGCCTGGAGAATCACTGGATGGCAGCGGCTTTACTTTGTTTTGGGTGCTCATTCATTCTCACGTATTTGAGCACCTAGCATATGGCAGAACCGTGCTGATGTGGAAGATTCTAAGCTACACAGGCCCCAGGCCCACGGGAGCCCCCAGACTACTTCAGGGCACATACATTAGGGAAAACATGATCCAGGGCAGGACACAGATTCCGTGGGAAATATTTTCGTTTTCCAGACAGCACTATCTGCCTATGTCGCAAACTGGCCGCAGCACCTAACTTTTAGGTTCTTTGCCCCTAACAGTTAAAAATATCACTCAGCTATAAAGCCACCTGGACGCACTGGAGGGCGGTAAGGGTTCTTTAAGAGCTGTCTTCCGTAGCAATAGCTCCCCCGCGTTAACTACCTGGAAAGGTTTTACCAACGCGCCGGACTTCGACAACCGCGGTGGGGAAGTACAGCGGCCCGCCACGGCCGAAGCCGCCTTCCGCCGACGCCAAGGCCGCACGGGTGTCGCGAGAGGCCCCGCCTCCCCGGCGCGGGCCCGCGCCCACCCCCCGCGCCCACTCAGCGAGAACGCCGCGGGCCAAGGGAACGCACCGCGGGCGCCTCCAGGAGGCGCCGTGACTCCGCAACTGCGCAGGCGCCGCCCAAGCCACCGCGGGGATTCCTGGCCCCGCCCCTCAGACCGGAAGGAGGTACCTGCACTTCCGGTGCCCAGCGACCCCCGTGGTTTCCTTGCTGATGTCCTGGGTTCAAGCTGCACATTTGATCCGAAGCCCTGGAGAAGGAGATGTGTTTGATGAGGAGGCGGACGAGTCGCTCCTGGTGCAGCGGGAATGGCAGAGCCACATGCACAGACGAGTCAAAGTAAAGCGCGGCGTAGGACTCGGGGCTGGGAGCGGGGCGCCAGGACCGGGAAGAAACTGGGTCCCGGGAGAATAGAAGGCCAGGTGGCCGGGCCTGCCTTTCCCACCTCTTGCCACCGTAGACGGCCCACAGCTTGCCAGACTTTACCAAAGGGTTAACTTGGGGCAGCGTGTGAAACTGCAGGGTGCATGCGACGCCGGGGACGGACCGAAAGAACTTTGTCCTGTGAAGGCGTGCAGTTTGATGAGGACCACAGGGCCGGGGATGGGAGAGAAACATACACATTGACTGCTAATTACAGCTCAGGGGGTATGTATGCCATTTGCGTGCGTACTTACCTGGGTGCGGTGCCTCGATTTAGAAATGCTGCCCTTCAACGCGAGGGGGAAAATGACCTTGATGGAAAGACCATGGAACTGCCAGTGGGCAATAGAGAATATTGGTGAAAAAGTAAGGAGAGTTTTAAGTTGTTTGGTTGGATTTGTATTAGATGTAAATCATTCGTCGCTCAATTGTCTCACTAGTCACTCACCAGGAATCTTAGTAGCACAGTAAGTTAGTTAAGCACTTGGCTGCTGAACTAAAGGTCGTTGGTTCGAATCCACCTGCTGCTAAATGGGAAAAGATGAGGCAGCGGCTTTCTTAATGATTAGCCTCCCAAACCCAATGGGCTGCGACCTGCAAGGTAAACAGTTCGAAACCACCAGCCAGCTCCATGGGAGAAAGACCGGGCTTTCTACTCCCATGAACAGTTACAGTGTCGGAAACTCACAGGGGCATTTCTGTCCTGTCCTATGGGGTCACTATGAGTCGGCAGAACTGGATTGCAGTGAGACAGTGAGTTTCCTATGGAGCACCCAGACACTCTTGCGACTTGGTGTCTGGGGAAGGCAGCCATGGCTGCCAGTGAATACTACTTTCCCACCGTCTTAGAAGTCCCACGCATTGATAAAACCGTTCCAGGTAGTTAAATTGATGGCCTCTAAAACTGCAGTTTGTGAATCTACCCCCTTGTTTAACATTTCATTAAAGTAATATTTGCTGAACCCAACAGCAGTATTATCATTTATAAGAATACTTAATGTACAGCTGAGGCTGGACCAGTAAATATTGAGACCAGTTTGAGTGCTGTGACACCCGCAAAAGAGGCCTACAAAGAATAAGTAGTTTATTAGAATTTGGGTATCAAGCAGAATTCCTAACACCATACATACATTTTTACCTGGACCAGCTTTCCCGTTTTTTCCTGCTGCACTTAAATTAAGTACCCAGTACCTTCCCTAACTCTGATTTTCCGCCCTGCTTCTGCACCCACCAATCTAATCAGTTGTCAAGCATGGAGACCATGGAGTAATTCTGTGTTCCCGTCCTGTGAAGTTATTGCTAACACAGGGTTTAAAAAAAAACAAAACATAAGAAACAGTATTTTTTTTTTAATTTACCACCAGTTAGTCTAGACTTTGAAAGTAGGAGAAAGAAAGATTAGACAACAATAAACGGTGGGAAGACTCGGCTACCTTGCTTGTATGAACATAGCAACGTTTTAGAATCATTATGTGAAATAAAGTCAAGGCCCATTTCCTGAATAGGTTCAGCGGCTCCACATGGTGCTAGTTACAGCTGCAATTGTCCCTTATTTTCAGGAAGGCTATAGAGATGGTGTAGACGCTGGCAAAGCAGTTGCTCTTCAGCAGGGCTTCAATCAAGGTTATAAGGAAGGTGCAGAAGTCATCATAAACTATGGACAACTCAGGGGAACATTAAGGTAATTTTGAAAAAATCGATTTTAAGTAATTTGAATCTCAGTACTGAAGAATTTTTGACAGATGTATTATGTGAAAATAGTGTTTGAACTGAAATGCTTTTCCTGGTGTTAAATCCTCAAAAGACTGCTAGAGCATAGAATAATGTCTTTAAAGAGCCAAAAACAGCATCACTTTATCCACTTTAAGTCATGAGCAAGGTGTGGTCCTTTGTTGCAAGGAAATGATAAAAGGGTATGTACTTTTTGCTACCCAAACTACCACTCACATTGAAGTAAATTTTTTTAAGAAATAAAGTACTTAAAAAATCCACAATTATAACAGCTTTTAGTTTTGTACATGTAGCAAACCTAAAGCCTTCTAGAGAGACTGCTA